ATTTAGTCTCTAAGGTTGCATGACAGCCAGTGTCATTCAGCCTACTTCCTATAAACCCAGACTGTCATAGAACCACCCCTGAGGGCAGCATTATCATTTAGCCTGGGCTCAGATTATTATTACATGGAATTCACATGTCATGTCATGAGTACAACTCAGTGCAGCACTAAGGGTCTGCTGTAGGAGAAGAGGAAGGACCTATGACATCAACAGACCAGGCAGAAGACCCTCAGATAAAAGGTATATATTTTTAAAGTTGGGGCAGGTGTGGCAGGTTAAAAGTACTAGACCTTAAATCTTCTATTCTATCCCCAACCCCTGCATTTATCCTGAACAACCCTTTAATAATGTATGCTGTGTACAAAAATAAAAAGCAGTGAAAATAAAACAGAAAGTGGGAACATCCCAGAGGTGGAATGATACAGAAATTAGGACACAATTTTTATACCCTTCCTCCTTATAAATGATAAGTATCGTCTTCCAGCAGCTGCGATATTTAATCACTCCGGCCTCTGGCTGCGGCCCCTGAATCCGACTCTTGGCCACATCAAATGGGATGTTAATGATGGATGCTAGCGTCCCAGAGGCCAAACCAATCGTAAACTTCCGTAGGAACTCCAGTCTTGCATCCTAGATAGTCAATGACACATGTAATATCATGAGCAAGGTAAAAGCAGCGATTTACATGTAGCATTCCGAATCCTGGCACCCGCTTTACTCCTCAAACCCATCATCCTTTAATTACAGCTACAGAGAGCTTTAAAAGCCAAGGAAGATAACCATATAACCACAGCAAGGTGGAGCCCTGCCAACACTGAAGCGGTGGGCTGAGAGTTACACACAAGCCTCGGGTTAGGGAACATGACTGGTAAAATAATGGTGGGTAAACCATACGGAGATAAAAACGTCTTACCCAGGCTTCGCCAACAGCAAGAACAACACCTTTAAATGCAATAAAAGCAGCCATCATCTGGGAACTGTATTTTTGCTTGCACCTGTACCATACAATGAAGTGTACCTGCCATAAGAAAGCAGCTTAAAGCTTAGCACGCCTTTGCCCCAACATTAATCCTGACCTTCTTATAGAGAAGAAAAAATACGTCTCCACATCGCACCAACATCTACTTTCCGCTGGGAGCAATACGGCTGTTAAGACATTTCTCGTCTGCTTTAGGCATTCTTGCTAATGCAGTGTTTTCCTGCCTGTGTCGGCGGGGGAGATGTTATTTGCTCTGAGCTTCATACGTGGGTTTAAGAGGATTCTGGGTAATGTGCCTTTAATCAGCGACCTGGCACCCAGCACAATGGGCTCCTTGCAGAGAGATGCAGTAGGATTTCCGCAGGTTTGCGACGATTCTTCCCCGACAATCCCATTGGCTCTGTTTTCGCACATGGTCCAAATTGCCTGCGGGCACATTTCCTCACACAGGATTCATAAATACAGTCCATAACGAGACTCTGGTTTCGGCATATGGGGATGATTTGTGTAATTGGCCTTTACAATGTACTTAGTATTACTGTATCAAAACACAAGAAACCCGAGTACTCTATTAGCTAATTGGCCAGAATATTTTACAAATGACAGCAAGCCCCTGCACCAGGAAGCTTGCTAAAACGGAGATGTATGTGTCCGCGAGACCCTCAAATGCTAAATTAAATAAAGGCAGGAAAAAAAAAAAAGACAGCACACACAAACACGTTCCTATACGACTGCTGCTGGCCTGCAGGTTTTTTCCACATTTCTCCTCAGATGTTGCAGATCTGTCAGCAGGAAATGTTCTCCCACTACTAAACTAACAAGCTCACTGCGGTAACGCACTGCAGGGCCGTGCCCTTGAATTAAATAGCTTTTACCTATTGAAGGCACTAGGATGTCGTTTAAAGGAGCAGTCACACTCCCGCTAACATGAAAGCACTCAGCAATGTTATCAAAGCGTCATTTTTTAAAAACAATTGTATAATTATTTAAAGGTGCACGTCCAGGCGTTTTTTTTTTTGTTTCCAAAGGATATTGTTAATTCCAGGAGACAAAACGGTACACTGGAATTTAAAAGTTTAAAAAGCATTTTAATAATATAGTGTAACTAAAGCTAATTTTTTTTCTTTTCGGCAGGGGGTTTGGATAGAGTGGTGAGAGTATTAGACCTGCTGATCGGTTTTTATTGCTATCTGTGGGCCCATGGGGAGATTTACCCTTCCAATTGGTCTAGGTTAATATTGTCACCGGGACTGCAAGTGAGAAATTTGAGGTTGACACAAGAACAGGACTTAAGGGGAAATCTTCCAATAGGCACAATTGTTGCAAAGACAATTGTCTTAAAGTGATATTAAAGCCAATTTTTTTTTATTTATCCTTTAAGGAGACCCTCCCCTTTGCTGGAGGATGTTGCGTTTTTTTCTTTAAAAGTACTTCTTTCCTCGTTTTCTAGTGTGTCCCCGCCATGCTCTTCCCCCGTTCTAATGGAGGCACCCGTGCGCGCTCGTGCCCTCAGCGGCTGTGTGCGTCCATAGACACACACAGGCCTGTGGCAGGCCACGGGCCTGTCCCTCTTTGATTGATGGCAGAAGGTGCCTATGGCTACTCTGCCATCAGTATCCTCCCCGCGCAACCCGGAGGTTCGGGGTATGGAGAATCGCTTTGGGACCGGCGGCGGGGACGAGCGGAGCGCAGCTGACAGTTAAGTGTGGGGGGGACTGGGGTAGCAAAAAAGGTGCTGGGCTGTTTTTACCCTAATGCAGAGAATGCATTAAGGTAAAAAACACCCAGACCTTAATGCTACTTTAAGCTGGTCCTACCCTGTTAGATTTTTGTATGGACATTCATATGAAAATTCTCGTCATAACATTGGATAATGTCATCAGTGACTTGTAGAATGTCATTTGAAATGTCATTTTATTTTGGCAATGAATGGAGTTTTCCTAACCATACCATATTCACTATTTTGTTAAAAAAATACCATCTTGCTCCTTTTATTTATTTTTCATCATTATGGTAGAAATCGATATTCAGTTTGATCACATTAACTATTATTATGATTTTTTAAATTAAATTCTATTGTATGGCCAGCTGTTGCATACAGGACAAGATGTGAAGGGATGCCTCCTCAATAAGACACATGACAAAAAAGCCTGGCAGGGGTTGTATTTATTCCATACTCTGTCCAAAATAAAAATAAAAAGTTTCGGCCTTAGGTATACTTTAATCACCCCCCTATTGCCGTATTATAAATATCTACTTCTGGAGTAACGTTTTGGGCGTTCAGTGCGCCCACTGAATATGTGAGATCAAGCTGTCAGACAGCTCAGGACTCGCATGCAATGTGCAAAGCCAGTCAGAGAGACTCTGTACCTTGTGATCACTGTGATGGTCAATCACAGTGATCACAACTGTAAAAACTGCAGTGTTTACATTTGAGAGCTCTTCCCTTCCTTACAGTGTATTAGACGTAAGGACACAGAGAGAAATTCCACAGCGGGAGCTGAGAGGGAGAGAGACTGCAGGGACCGGTCTATAAGCCAGATGGAACCAAAGATCAAATGAGTATATCTTTTTTATGTTACACCCTAGACCAAAAAGAGCACATAACCCTTGCAATGTGAAGGTAGCCACACTGCAGATGTTAAGTATTATTCTGCCCAGAGTTCTTTAATAGTAGTTCTTTACTACTGCTGGGAGAGGGGAGCAGGGGGGATGAGCTGCTGAGACAACAACTTCAGTACTGCTGCTTTAAACTTTGAGGAAATATTGCTCCACAGTTATCTTAAAACTTAATTACTGCTTGTTAAGATTATGTGAATACTTGAATGTCCATAGCCTGGCCAAAGGTTTATTTTAGGCAGCCCATAGAAATGAGATCAGAAAACAGCCAGACCCGGCAATGATTCTATGTCTAGGATTGTAGTCAACAGCAACAACATAATCTTCACCAGCAACTTCTACCCACACCATTCATCTCCTCCTCTCTCCCATCAGTGTTGATATACATTTGCCAGGTTGGCATAGCCATACTTGCAAGTTTCTGGAAACTTTGCAGCATTTGGAAGATCTATTGCCCTAAAGGGTGGCCTTATCATGCCTGGACATTGGCCACCTTTTAAAGTCCAAGGGTATCACGGGTGGCCCTCTCCCTTTAAATGTTTTACTCCTGAAAGAGTAAAAACGACTAACAATTAACTAGTACATCTAGTCTTATAAAAAAAAGTGCCCTAAACACAAGAAAAATAAAATGTTAATACAAGTTTAATGATGGCACCAATGGTAAAACATAGAAATCATTGCTTTAGTGAATTTCTGGTAAACTCATTAACTAGGAAATCAAATGTTTACAAAGAGATCCCCAAAGAAACTGAAAAGGAGCATTCACATTAAGAAAACTTCTAACCCACAGGAAGTGTTTCGGCAGTTTAAAGATAGATAATTTTATGTTCTTTTTCATCTATTTCTGTTTATATATTCTGGGATTTATTGGATGGTACGTTTACAAAAGTTCTTTTGCCAGTTTCAATTGATAGTGTCAGTAAAAAAAAAGCAAATTTATAATTTTTATTCTATGGAAAGGGGACATTCACAGACCAATATCCAGCTGGCACCATGTAAACATTTTGACATACAGTATGACTGACAACTTTGTATGAAGTTGTGTAACAGCTGATAACTTCTGGAAAAACATAATTTTAGAAAATGTTAGTCTACCAGATTAACATTTTTTCAGATGATTCCGCCATGTGATGCAGGAAAACCCATTCACTGCCTGTGCCATAAAATGCCCATAGACAATAGATCATCATCCAATAATACAAATTTCCCCCCAGAAGAATAGTCAAATGGCAAATATTTTGGTACCCTAGAGGTATATCTAGCACCTTGGCTTAATGCCTATGCACAAACATTACAAGTGGTGGTAATGGGACAGGTGTGTTGAGTCTAAAAGTATATTTCAATACTCGAATGGCTATCTTGTGAACATCCATTAGTACATGAATATAGGTTCAAACTCTAACATCACTGGTCTGTATGTCTGTAGGTACCCTAACATAGAGAGAATGGCAAACTTCTCATCAATTTATAACTAGCAAGGCAGGTACATGTGTGGGGCAGGGGCGGGGTTCAGCGGCAATTCATTCCAAGTGCCTAAAATACATTTGCCAGTTCATCTTTCTACTAGCCAACAAAGGGAACCTAACCAAAACCTGTCCTGTAAATGTAACAATGCGCTCATCCGTATGTCACGGCGCACACGTGCTGATGTGCACACGCACATTCCTCCCAGTGGCGCCAAACGGGCTATTTAAGGATGCTTGTTACACTTGCACTTTGCTGGGAGATCTTCAGCTGTTCCATGCTACTGTCTGACTCTGCTCCTGAATCCGTATTTGACCCGGCTTGTTTCCTAATCCTGCTGTCTGCTGCCTACCTTCTGACTTGGCTTACCCACTGACCATTCTTCTGGATTCCGATTTGGTACTGCTCTGCTAATCTATAATAAGCAAGGTTCCCCGAAAAAAACGGAATCCCAAAATAGGAGCTGTCTATAATAATCAAACAGGTAATGATAATGTAACAAATTTTAATGAGAATTAATAATAAAGTAGAAAAACATATAAATACACCTACTGACAAAGAACATCTA